ACTATATATAGTCGTCTATAATTAAATTGCTAGACTTTGCATCTTTTCAGGAATTCGTCATATGATCTCATTGCAATTTCCTCCGACGCTCTGCGATGCACTCGTAGCTATTATGGGATTTAGAATGATTGTAAAGTCACAACGAATCGTCTATACTATTCGATTCAATTTAAAATTTATGAAATAGCGAGTGGTTCTCGCATGGCGAAAGACAAGCATGGCATTCTCGAGGCATTCCCGTGAGTCGTGACTCGATAGGTTCGATTCATGAATGAAACTACTCGAACCGTCAGTGAGTCTGCGTGTTTCGATAATGTACGTACGTACTACACACACACACGCGCGCGCGCGCGCACATGTATACACGCGCGCATATATAATACATACATCACTATAGAGGAATCATTTGTTGAGGAATCATCTATTGTAAATAACAGAATAGAATCTGTCAACTGTATACTCTACGCAGAATATAAAAATGAAATTACATCGGCTTACGTACCGTTCGATCAATCTTGTGGCGTACTCTGAAATCGATTAATTCGTTCAATTCCATTACATGATGCGTCTTTATATATATTTACGAAATGCATCCTAATAATAATAATACATCACAGCCAAAATGTATGTACACCGGGCGATGTTAAGAGTGTGTACATACTTGCACGAGGTGTGCGCGCTGAGGGTCTGAAAGGAAACTCTACGATCGACATTTGGACTTTTTCGTGAGAAAAAGATCCTCGCGTAACTTGTTTCCCTCTGTTTGGTGTGTTTCGTAGAAAGGCGCGAATCATGATCACGATATAGACTAATTAATTCCATTTCAGCGACTCACTGATCGGATCACTTTTTCTTTGCTAAAAACTTGCAATTTGTTCTCTACTCCTCCTCACCCTCTCTCTCTCTCTCTCTCTCTCATCGTTGAATAGCATCAGTGAATAGTACAGTTGTAGTAAAAACTGCATGGATTCACCAGATTTAATTTTCATTCACACACACATTCTTTTCTTTGATTAATGAATATACGTAATAGAGTGCAACAAGTATCTTACCTCGGAACGGACCACTGCCGTATCGATGAGAGTTGGGTAGAATAAAGTAACGGCGAGGGTGACGACAAGGAATATTCTCATGTGACAACTGGTTTTCGCTTTCGCGCGCGATGGATTCGACTGCGTTTCCATTTGTACCTACGTATAAGGCGACGCACGTCGAGACTCTCGGAGATGATCCGCAAACTTGCCTTTCGAATTTATATGCGTGTATATACACGTAGGTATATATTATATTACCGCTTGCAAATATATGTATATATATATATATATATGTGCGTGTGCGTGTGTGTGTGTGTGTGTGCGTGTGTGTGTGTGTGTATATATCTTTGTCCGTGCTCGTCTTCGATCCTCATGTACGTCGTTGCGTCGACACGTCGAAATTGCACGTCAGTTGAAATTGCACGTTGGCGAATTGCACGCGCGCGTTCAGATACGTAGCGTGCACAACACACTGTGAGCGGCAGCGTGCGTGATCGAGAAACGGCGCGAAATGAAACGGACACGGTACGCGTAGTGCTTCCTCCGAGAAACTGCAGACAAGTTTCTCAAGCGGGAGGATGTTAACGTATAATGCGGGAGGGAATGCAGCGAGTGTGCGACGATTCGACGATGTTAAATCTCAAGCCCAAAAAGGTGAGATCAGGGAAATTAGTTTCCACGCGTCGGGGAAGCTCTTTAACTTTAGTCTTTTCTTCCCACTTTTCGAGATATCGTCAGTACCGGTTCAGGATACACGCGCCCGCGCGCTCTCTCGTTTTCAGTGACCGAGTTATATACGCGTCTTCGGAACTTTATACATAGACTGTCTTCTCGTATAGAGTGAAGATGCTTTCGAGTCATCGGGGGTTTATATAGGCTGGGCTAGTCGAGGGAGGGGAAAAAGATTTAGGCAGAGAGAGAAACAAGGAAAGAGAGGAAGAGAGTGAGAAACGGAGAGGGAGACTAATAACGAGAGAAAAGAAGAGAGGGAAACCACGCTTAGACGTTAATAATTGCAATGCAACTATTGTAATAACAATAACAATAATGGTAGTAGTAGTAGTAGTAGTAGTAGTAGTCCAAGTAGTAACAACACAACAGTAATACAATAACAATAGCGACGAATGCGTGTAATAGGACAATTACGCGATCTTTCGTCGCTAGCCTTACAATTAGTTAGTTTATTCTTCATAATTAGCAAGATGGAGAGAGAGAGAGAGAGAGAGAGAGAGAGAGAGAGAGAGGATGCACGCGCGTGCATGTAACGTACGTGAAGCACGTGTCTCAATGGCGGGGAAAACGAAGTGTTTTCTAGCCGCCGGCTCGCGCGCGCACGTCTCTGACGCTGCGCGCTGCTGGCCTGCTTTTTGCATTCGTTTCTCATACGATCCGTATGATGAGATGAGAGGATCTATTTAACGAACACACTTTGCAAACTTCTTGCATACCTCACACATATATATAATCATTTCACTTTTCCACATAAACATCTTCGATTATAATGTAATATTATAGTAATATTATAATAACGTATCATTTCAACTAGGTATTATTTGTTCGAAAGGGGGGGGGGGTATTAATTGTTCTCTTGCCACTTTGCCGATCAAAAGTTTCATTTCTCTCATCATCCATTATTATTCATTTAAAAATTTATAATCTTCCAAGAGAATCTTTGATAAAAGTGCGACTCTCGACTTGTCAATAACATAGTACTAGTCATGTAACGTACATTGTTCGTTTTGCGCTTTAATACTAAAATTATTAACTCCCAAAATTATTTCACTCCCACGTAAATTATTTTGACGTGTGTGTGTATGTGTGTGTGTGTGTGTGTGTAGATGTATACATATATATAGTTATTGACGATTGGATATATTTCTCTCACTTTTAGAAAATATACAGCGTATGAACGGTCAAGTCAGATTCGTTCAACACTAATAATAATATAATCGATCAACTCGAGTGAGTGAGAGAGGAATAAAGGAGGGGGAAGGTGAGGAAGATTAAAACATCTGCGTCGTGAAGAGTCGCGCGGCGTTTCTAAAATGCGCGCTTTCTTTCTTATGCCTTATGCCTTATGCCTTATTACATTATGGCTACTATATTATCGCGCATCTGATGTAATATCACTTGGTAAACTTGGTCAGGTAGCACGTAGCAAAGCTTGTGGACGAAAATAGTGTGGAAATCTAGAATAAACAATATATAACGACGAGATTTTTAATGCGTATTAAAATACACGCGTTATCGCTTAGATAAACGAAATTCAAATAAGCGAGCCACTCTGTTTACGTATAATAGTTTCAAGTTTCATATTAGTACGCGCGCGCTAATAAATTACGCGTACGGCGTACTAATAAATTTTTTTTAATAGAAATAACTCGATGTAAATACGTAAAATATTGTCGAAATAATGCCTCGACGGTACTATTAGGTATTTTAGCCGTAATAAGCGCGATTATATTAAACATATATTCGCGCGCGCATGACTTGATTTTTCAATTCAATTCTCTTTTCCAACACCTACATACGAAATGAAAATTCGCTTTAACAAAGAGTTACAACTAAATTTTCTTTCCAAAAAGCGCTGTGTGTTGTGTTTTGTGTGTGTGTGTGTGTGTGTGTGTGTGTGCGTGCGTGCGTGTGTGTGTACATATATGTACGTAAAAACCTCTGATTCGAGCATCTAAAATCTTGATCCAAAGTCTTGAACGTTCCCACTTTGACATTGAAACAATCGTCTCGTTATTCTGCCGTTATTAAGATATTTTTCAGTAGTAATGAACTCAAGCCCAGCTTTGTAAAGCATAAACAAATTTCTTCATCGCGCGCGCGTTGACAATTTTCCCTATTCTTTTAATTTAACCAATCGACGGTAGAATTTGTATTCGTCATAGGTCACGCTCTCGGACGTGCCGTTCGAGTCGAGATCTATAGAGATCGAGCCATCGAGGATTACACAGGCAATCCTCAATTTTCATCAATTTCTCAGTCACGCTGCATCGATGCAGCGCCATATGATTGTCGTACGCTGTAAATAGCATACCGAGTACGTATACATAATACGTTAATGCAAAGACATATACATATATCGAATAAGAAAAGTCCCGCACTCTTCCACAAACGCTCTTCAATTGCCCTCTTCTTGCCACTTCGGTTGGATTGACAACACATTATACCACTTGTACTTGTGTGTATGTATATATATATATGTATGTAACGTGAGTCAGAGAATGTATATAGAGGCTCGACGGAGGCCTGTCGATCTCTCGACCAATGGCAGGACGATTGATCGCTTACGTCAGCATCACCTCATAGGCGACGCATCGCGTCATAAATTCGGCGTGGCGCAGCGCGGCGTAAAGTATGTATGTGTCGCATGTAAATGTAAATTTTCGGCAATCGAATGCGTATCGTAAATCATCCAATGCACTCTCATCTAATTCCTTGCAACCTTATAACTACATAGTGTATATAACGCAACGAGTATACACATATATATATATATATATATGCAATATGTTATATATTATAAATAATATATAAATAATAAATTTGGAAGCTAGAAGCTAGTCACTGCACGACGAAGTAATAGTAACAAGTATGGTGCTTGAATGTGCGTCGATACTCCAATACACACACACACACACACACACACACACACACACACACACACACACACACACACACACACACATACATACGTATAGATGCCTGTAGAGATTGCGGGAGAATTGTAAAATGCCAACCCCAAAGCGAAGTAGATATTCTCGCAATCGATTGGAGCAAAGAATTAAGGAACTTCCTTTCAACAATAAGAAGGGTGTGAAACTCGCAAGGCGTATGTGACCTGTGTGTGGCATATGTATATGGCCATCCCAAGATCCGAATTGCGTCATTTCATTCGTTTCCGGAAAGAAACTATGGTAGACTACGCAGTTTGTCAAGCGAGATCGTTACCTTCTTTCTCCATTTTATTAGGTGTACAAAAAAGTTCTGAGCTTTAGATTTGATACAACCGAAATAACAATTTAAATTTTATATATCTTCCCGCCCTTTTGGGGTTTTAAAACAGTAACATTTAACCTCCTGAAATGCGATACGGTTTGGCGTTTGATGCACATAACCTCAAAAATCAGTAGTGTTCACGATGGCAATTACAAAAGAGCATATTCGATTTTCCATCCACTTCGCGTTTCATCTGAAGAAAAATGCTGCTGAAGCCACTGAAATGATTTGTGCTGCATATGGAGAGAACGCTGTAAGTCATGCAACATGCAAAAGGTGGTATCAAAAGTTTCG